AGCTACTTTTTGATTTTAAGGTTTTGTTGATCACAATTCATTTTTACTATGTCAATGGATATATAAAATTCATCATTCATTACAAGCTCAAGCATCTACTCGAATACAAATTGTTTGTCATGTTTGTCTTTTATATAGGTTGGATGTTTAAAAGATATTTATGTTCTTTCAAATGTTTTAAAACCAACAACAATTCGACCAATTTTTTCATAATCAATATGATGAACTTCATTTATTTATAATTTTTTTTTTGAACATCCCTTTATATTACATGATCTTAATAATTTAATCTTTTCAAGTAAAGAGAAAAAAAAAAGATATCAATTATGTTTTTTTTTAATTCTTTCTTTTTATTTGAAGATTTATCAAATCTCAGCAAACGAAAAAATGTTTTGAAAGTAGCACAAATGATTCAAGTAATTCAAAAAATTGAACTATTTTATCATCATTCTTTTGGACAGAATATAGTTGATATTTCAGTTTTCAAAGAAGAAAGGAGTTCCAAAGTGTTAGATTTGAAGAATATATGTGATCATGTTTCTTCTGAACGAATTCATTTGTTTTTCTTTTTAAAGAAAATGAAAAAGATTCATCAACAACATCAAACACAGACAAAGTTAAAAAAGTTAATCATACACAATTAGGTACTTTTGGAAATTATTCGAATTAATATGTTCATCATGTCAATTACATAAAAGTTTATTAAACTCATCAGAAATGATTATTATTGTCTATGAAATCAGTTTTAAGTCTTATTTCTACACAAGATTTATCAAAAAAATTTGGAAGAGAAACACTTAATTATTTTAAATCAACATTCAATGTACACAAAAGGTAACTTCTTTTAAATAGTAAATATTTATTGTAAAGAAAATTTCAATTATTAATCTTCTTTATTTATTGTTTAAGCTAAAACCTTTAGGATGTTGTATTGTGTCTGAAACTTGTCTATGGATAAAACTTTAGATGGAAGTCTTATAATGAAGGTTTCTGAAAGGGTCTTTCCCAGAGAAGGAAAATTTCAATATAAGAATGTCATAGTAACAGAAAAACTGATTTTACGAACATCGATGATCTTAACGAGAGTAGTTTTGTTGTGAAAGTGTCAGATCTTTTGATTCGGTTCTATCTTGAAATTCGAATATTAAATCATCTAGTTTACGTGAGCGATCTGCAAGACACACTATCAATTCGAAATTTGAAAATCATTTTTTCTGTTAACACAACATTCATTTAAAAATATTCTTCTAATTTAGTTTTTATTAAATCTTCAAATGTTTCTTCACAAGTATCATTAAATAATTCTTTAATTTATATTCATACAATAAGTATTCGACAATCGATAATTTATTTTATTTGGTTCATGTTCTGCATCAAGTATAAATAGTGCAATACGACAGTAAAATAAACAAAAAAAAACGAATTTGATTTATTCTGTCTGTTTTTTTGTTTTCTATTTTAGTTTTTATTGAACTAAAAAAAAATTAGTCTTAAAAAATGTATTAATACAAATGAAAGTGATTTTCAAGCTGCTGTACTCGATTTACTTGTTCAATTATTTTTAATTCGTGTTAATTATGGTTAATTAGAAGCTGATGAAATTCGTTGCATTTCTAATCGTTTCGTTTATTTTTAAATAGCATTTTATTTATTGTATTGCTGAATTTCTTGTTATGTTATCACATGATACATTTCATTCAAAACAAGTTATTAACATACAAGATTTAATAAAACATTATGATTCATTATTAGCAAGTGGACATGAACCTGAAACACATGGTAGGAAGCAAAAAAAGAAACATTTTCGAGAAAAAGAAATTATCGTTAAAATTCTTTATTTAGCTTTGGCAGCATTAGAACCAGTTTTATATGATTTTTTTTCTTGTTCGAGTTATGCGAATAATTAATATTCCTAAAAAGTTTTATTAAATGAGAGTGAAGAAAAGGTGTCCTTCTATAAAGTCTCCAATATCTTAGAAACTCGAGAGGGTGTGAGTGTGGGTGTGTAGATGTAATTTTTCTCCTTGATTGAACCCACACCCACACTTCAACGAATCGATGATCTGAAAATAATCATCTTGTTGTTACGTATCTGAGTTTGAGGGAAAACTAGGCATCTTAATTATTATAAATACAAGTATCTTTTCATGTCATGTGTATGTACTGAAAAAGTAATAATAGAATTTATATTGTTATAGGATTTACGATTGTTCACAGTTATTGCTAATAGTGTTCAAATTGAAGATGATAAATGGAAACGTCTTTCACGACAAATTGTCGATTTACTTCTTGCTCATTTACAATCTCAGGTTATTTTTGTTCAAATAGGATCAATCACTTTTGGATATTTATTCCACATAATTAACACTATTTGATGTTGTCTCATCAGTTGCATTACGATCAATTGGTCCATTTGTTATTGCTTTTCGAGCATTAGTAAATAGAAATGTTCGTTGTTTTTATTTATAAAATTTTTCTGTAGTTTACAATTTTTTAGAATGTCAATTGTCAATCTACAAATCGATAGTTAATCAATATAAATATAATACTTCGATGTCTTGTACAAAATTCAACTGAAGATGCTATATTAACACAATAGAATGACGTTTTATTATCAGTTAATGGAACATGAGATGAAACTTTAGTGCGTAAGTATTCGAAATGATTTTATTTATAATTTAAAAACTATTATTCTCGTTTTTGTTTTCAGAGCTCTTCTTCGTGTTTTACATGGCATAATATTATGAATTTTAACTAATACTCGACAATTATGTGGTCAAATCACTACAAAATTAGTTTCTCTTGCATCCGATTATCTTTATGTACATATCACCCATTAATTTGAAGATAAAACTTTCCTGCAATTCATTAATTACTAATGCCCTAGCGAAAAACATTTGACTTTAAAATTCCTATGCTTATATAAGATCTATAATTTTATTTTAGTTAAACAATTTCGAACAATTGTAAATGATTTTCATCAATTATGAATTCATGATGAAACTCTACATTGTCTTGAGACATTTTCATATTTAACTATTTTAAATGAATGTTTTAAATTATTATGATCATCATTTTATATCTCATTATTATTACAATGGATACATATTCTGAATATGCTTGATTATACACAAGAAGCATGCTGGTCACCGACATTAACACCATCATCATCAAGAATAAATTTATCTAATAAGTGGTCAATTACAATCTTATTGTGATTTAATATATCATCATGAATTATATGTTGAACATTTTACATCAATAACAACACATTATCAATTATTATTATTATTTTTTATTTGATGTTATATATCATACATCAGTTGCAAGTCATTTATTTTTTTTTGTGAAGGAATAGATTTAGATGAAAATGGTCTTATATTAGTTTTATTAATTGAACAATTTCTTCCATTACCATTAAATAAACAATTATGACCTAAATATATACCATAAATTTTATAAATATTATCAATAACAACATCAATTGATATTATTACAGAAGATTTTAATAATCTTAATTGTCATATGAATATAACAAGAAAAATTTATGCACAAATGCTTAAAAATATAACTTATAAAAAATGATTACCATTAATGATGTCACCGGTATATTTTAGTTTAATTTATCGAAATAAATAAATATATATGTATAATAAAAATTTTAATCCGATTAAAAGAAATGCTTTTTTTTACTTTGACATTGTTTATGTGCTAGTAATAGATGAGACTTGAATAATTCAAAACTTCGAAAAATATTTTGAAATAGAAAATATGCAGAATTTCAGGTAATACAAATCGTAAAGGAAAGCATTTAAGCTACATTAGTACAATGACCGAATAATTCCTTTTGAATCTTATTGATCAAATTCTCAGTCGTGCTATTTGTATTATTACAATTAAAGAAAACGACGTCTTTCTAATATTATATTTCGAAATAAATTGCATTCGAGAATTTCGATAAACTCTCTATAAGTTTGAACTCGTGAACTCCGAAAACGTATTGGATTTTTTCCACAGCATTAAATTTTTAGGATGATTCTTATAGTAAATGAAAATTGATTTGAGAAGATAAGAAACAATATAAATCTGTTCTTTGTTTGTTTTCCTAGGATTTTGTATAGTTATATCAAATGAAACAAATTAAAATGACATTGAAACAACACCTAATACAATTTATGAAAAAAGTCTTTTATCATGCTTCTAATAATCAACCATATTCAATTGCATTCATAGATTCTCTATCAATATATTTTGATAAAATACAAAATCATGTTGAATTAACATGTCAATTTTCAACAGGTGATATACATGATTTATTACGTTTTATAATACTTATATCAGAAATAATTCATATAAATATATTTCAAAAAAAGAACATCATTTCTTAGTTGTGAAACAGATCAAATAATATCATGTTGTACATTATCGAAAATACTATTATCAATATTTGAATACCTTTATCAACGACATGTGTTTAACTGTATCAAATATATTATAATCATATTTAAATTTGATTGAACCAGATAAAAGATCATCTTTATTATTTAACAAAAAAAAAAATTAAATATATATATATCATATATTTATTGACATGATTTATATTGTATAGTTATATTATTATTTTGTTTACCAATATTTATATAAAGACAATTTTGGAGTTGGTTGATTATTAAGAATACAATTTCAAGAAATATAGGCTTCATTTTTAGCTTCAATTAATTCACCACAAATCAATCTAATGATGAAAATAAACAAACAACAAATAATTGTAAAAAAAAAAGAAGAAACTTTAGAAACAAATGCAACACAATGGTAACAAGATTGAAAAATAAACTAGATTCTATCTGTTCTTTTTTTATCAATATTAGATACAAGTTCAAATAATTTATTTACAAATATTGAACGGTTAGGTACACGTGATTTATTATCCCATGACCAATTTTCATATGATATTATATTAACATCAATCCAAAGTAATAATACATTATCATTATCAATTAATGTAAGTCTCACATATGTTTTAATAATCGACAAATAGAACTCTAAGTTAAAAGAAAGATAAATTCATTGCTAAATTATTAATTTCATCAAACAGAAAATCTAGTGTTTCTCTGACTTTGATTTGATATATAATACATGCAAACTATCTTATTTCATAGAGATAAAAGATTATATCAATAATTTCAAATATATTCTATCAATCAGAAAATTAGAGTATGAACATTTTCTTTGCTGGCATCTACCTTTAAAAATATATAATTTAGAGTTTATTTGATTGCTTATTTTTTCATCATGGTTTTGATTTAACATTATCATTACAAATTCTAATTGAAATACATGTAATATAAATTAATAGGCTCAATTATATATCTATCTGATTTATTTGTACATGGTTTAATGAAGATGATTTAATAATATCCTTAATAAGTAATAATTTATGTAAATCTAGTATATTACTTGGACAAACAACAAAAGAATATAATGAATTATATCTACGTTTAATTGAACGTAATAATAAATTAATAACTAAAACTCATGCATATGCATCATGTTTATTCATGAAGTTGATTTAAATTCATATGATATTTTATTATCATTAATTAATGATGATAATTTAACACAAAAAATTATATCAATTAGTCTTGAAAAACTTTTAATAGTTGGTCAATATCCCAAAAATGATATATAGTGTTAATACTTTCACGTATTTATACATTATTACAACGACCAAATAAAAATACAAAATCCATTAAATAATGAACATGTTAATAAAGAACAAACAATAATTGCTAGTTCATCAATAATATCATCATCAGATAATATTCTTATTGAACTTGTTGAAGAATTATATGCACGTACAAAACAATCAACAACATTACCATATGAAGCTTTACTTTTATTACGTCCTTTATCATTATTACTTGCACACATTAGTTTCTTTTTCGTGCTTTAATTAATGCACGTTATTCAGCTAAAGTTAATGAATGGACTTTATTATCAATGACAAATATTACACAAAGAAAATCACTATGTATGGCTATATGGGAGTTAACTTGTCTTATGTTAAGTGCACGTCTATCACAGGGTGTGGGTGTGGGTGAAGACAAGACCTATAATGATTCCCACACCCCCACCTTCTTATGAGTAAAATTCTGCCTATGGTTAAATATTCTTCCTAGTTTTCTTTTTAAAACTTATCAAGACTTACACATACAACTAAAATTTATTTGGAAAAGATAAATAGTAAAATATTAATAAAAAACAAAAACTCTTTATTGCAATCCGAAAGAATGACGATCAATACAAAATCAATAAATTTCGCCATAAAATGTCAAAATGAATTTTCATTGATAATATTGTATATCTTTTACTTTTTTAAGTTTTTATTGATGTTATCACGTTTCAGTGTTCGTTTTGAAGAATCAGACAATTGTTTATTTCTTATTGCTGATCGAAAATAGTATCTGCAGGTATATTAAAAGAAAACTTGCAAATATCAATTGTATCAACAAAAAACAAAAATCTATTTTATTTATTTTAGATAACGAATATTGAACATTGACGTCCATATGAACAAGCATTCACACATGAATCGAATCCAGAAAAATTATATGCTGATTTAGTTGAACACGTTCAAAATACGGTGTGGATGTAGATGTTGTTTGGATATGTTGATGAACCATATATTCTCTCTCTGCCATCCATACTCACATCCTCAATAAAGACTAAAAATATCAATTCATAAAATGGAAACATAGCAACAAGAATTAATTTATCAACTTTTTTCTTTTTACTAGAATTGGTCTCTACTATAACAATCATATCTAAATTTTCTAAAACCAATCAGAATAGATTGTCATTTATTTTGTGCTCTAATTTCTGTTTGGCTTATTGATTTATATTTCATATCGTATGTTTTATTATGATTTCAATCATTGATTTAACTAGTAAATAAGGCGATTACATGTCTCCATTAAACATATTTTAACCATTGAAGTTTTAACGAAGAGCTTTTTAAACCATGTCGTTAGAGTTTAAGAAAAAGTTGCACAACATCTGGATTAAAACTTGCATTTATAACCACTACTTTTAATAATATCAAGAAGAATGTGAGTATAGATGTTGATATTCTGTTTAACCACATCTACAATCTTTGAATCGTTTTGGTTTAGTAGATTATATGTAAAAAGCAGCTACCATACTTCATCCTATTGAACTGTTTTCTGAAAATCCATTGAAAATGATAAATTCAAAAAGTCTCGCACTACACAATTGTTTCTTTTTTATTCAAATAACAATTCTTTTTTCTTGATTTATTATTCGTACTTTTTATTATTTTGTTATCAATACAAAAAAAATTGAATATTTTGATGTAAAAAGCAATGCATCATTGACAATATTTAACGATAACTATCAGAAAAGGAATCAAACCAACTTCCACAGGTTCGAGTTCAGTTCGATGTCTGACAAGCGCGGTATTATCCTGTAAAATTATTTTGGATTGTAAATTTCTGAGAATTTTTTTAATGAAAAGCATAAGTTAAAACTCAACAATACAATCATCAAAATGCAGGATTTCAGAAAAAATAAATCATAAATAACGAAAATTCGATCATCACTAAAGAATATTCTGTAAGAAAATGATCGCACCATGTTCCTGTTACATTCTAAAGATACTTAAAGGCTTGTAAACACATTCTAGAATACTTCAAACATATTTAGATTTTATTTTAAATTTATTTAACTTTTTTAAAATTTATTGTTGGATTTTTGGTAAATGGTTACAAAATGTAAATTGATTGCTTTGCAAAATATTCCATCGAACATCGTTTGATAATCACATATAATATCACAACTTTACAAAAATGATTATATCTTAGCTAATCATTTTTTTTTCATATGTCTATCTATATTTATTCATTTTTTCAAAATTACTAATATCTGTTTATGGAAGAAGTCGTTGTTTCAATGAATAGTATGATGTTGAATCCTGCTCTATTTTCATTATTGAAAATAGGAGAGACGATTAGCTTCAAAGCTTTTTTCTCACAATCTACTTTCGTGATTTAAATTTTGTGTTCTCACTTATTTAACTTTGTTTCAAATATTTTTTTGTTGTTGACACAGTAAACTCTGCATACGTATGACGATATAAAATGAAAAAATTTTTCTTGTAAAATTTAATTTAAACAAATATATGCAATAAGGTGTGAGTTTTCGGTTCATCTACAAAGCCATACATTCTATTGTCTAGGAATTCGTTATATTCTTCACTTTTTCTTCTGGAGAAGTGTTTCTTTTTTTTTTATTATTTTGGGACAATTATCAATTTAGTTTGTGTTTTGTTTCAACAAGCAAGTCGTTGCAAATCTTCTAGATTAAGAAAATATTTTTCCACAGTTACAGTTTATTGCCTGTCTCTTCTGAATAGATCAATCAATCTCATCCACATTTTTCTAGCTAATAGTTGTCATTGATATCTACTTTTAAGAATCATCAGGATCATAAATTCGATCATTCGATTTTATGGTAATGTAAGATTACCTGATTTTCTCCAATATGTCATTTCTTGAACTCTTGTAAAGACATTCTTTCTCAGGCATTCGCCATCGACGAAATTCAGAAACTCTAAGATATTATCAGTTAAATCTTCTAATCTTAAATAAATATATTTCTCCTGAATAATTGAAAATTCAGATAAAATTAGAATTGACTTGTATCACAAATATTCACTCTATTCGTTAATTAACCTTAAGAAAATCTTATATTTTGTGTTTGAATATTTGGAATATAAATATTTCAAAAGTTATTCAAAAGAAAAAGAGAACTTTGCAAGGTCACGATCTGTAAAATGATAATGCTGTAATCTTGCAGAACGCTGGTAGAAGTAGTTAATAGTTATGTCATTGGTTGCTTTAAAAACTATGCATTGAAAACAAAAACAAAAAAAAACATGTCTGTTAACTCCTACTGAAGTATTCGCTAGTTAAAGAAACATTTGAATCATTAGCCTTAATAGTTATTTCCATACAATGTAGTATTTATACACAAATTTTTTGATTGTTAGTAAATTTAGCAATAAAAATCTTGCACAAACTGTTCAAATTCTTCTGAAAAATCATGATTTTTACAAATTTACTTATGCGCTCATAAAAAAATGTGTTTTTTCTTAACTACTGTTTCCTCGTACATTGAGATAAGTCCAGTGAGTGATAAAGTTAATTTCGTCAACTGTTGTCTTTTAAAGAAGACTCATGGTTCCACAGACTATGCATGCCTTTTTCTTTTCATATCGAATATAATTGTTGTTGCTCTTTTCAAGGAACTATTGCCTTTAGTCAATTACTTTTTAGTTAAAGAAAAGCATCAAATTTTGATAGCATTTGATTTCAATATTTTCGAAGTAAATCATCAGTTGAGAAGAAAGTTAGGAAATTTAGAAGACTTTCACTTTGATCTGATTATCTATAGATGACTAAATCAATTTGTTTGATCTGCCTCCTCTATTTCTTTTTTCATAGATCTTTTAAAGTTCTACAAAAGATATCTTTTTCTCTATTGCATTCATGTTATCAATTTTGAGTGAATAATTTCATCCTATATTTTTGAGAAAAATTGTTTTTTGATAACATCAGTATGTGTTTCACCTCTGCAAATGTTTTATAGGAGACTTATCATTTCAATGGAATAATATTCATTTATCTAGCATCTTCTATTGAATTTTAAAAAGAACACTAAGATAATTTTAATTAAAGCTGCAAAAATCGTCGAAAAATATATCCAAGCAAGTAGGATATGAGACAACAAAATTTCAAAACAGGAAACTTTTCAAACATAAGATTGTCAATATAAATACCTTTAGAAATATAAAGAATGTTACAAAATTAAAATGATAATCATCTAATATGATGAATATTATTCCATTGAAACGATAAATTTTGTATTAAATCTATTCAGATAAAAACACATAAAGCTGTTATGAAAAAAATTCTTCTCAATGAAATGTAAGATGAAATTAGTTATTGGAGATTCGTACGATAGGAAAATAACATTGGACTAAATTGATGCATTCTACAAAATTATATATTTCAATCAATGAACAGTTTATAAATTCATTGTCTTCTTAGATTAACTTGTCATATATGTTTATCTACATCAAAATGGTAATGAGACAAATGCTTGTAAGGTTTCTTACATCAAACTATCAGCTGTAACTGAGAGTTTCTACACTGAAAAAACTGATTTTGGTGTGGGTGAGTTTGGATGAGGTCAGAAAGAAGAGATTCACCCACATCCCACAAAAAAGCTTATCAAACTCGTGAGAATGTGCGTAGGGCACATCTGAAATTCATTTTTCTTTGACTTCGTGTGGAAGATGCAAGAACAAAAATAAATGGTAATTAAATGACTTAGTATTTTAGTGACCATTGATATTTCGCATCTTATATGCATATACACGTTAATTATCGTTTTGTGTAAATTAAGTTTATCCATGAAAGAGTCTCGAAGGTTTATATATACAAAATAAAAAGAACAACAATGTTCTAATAAAAGGATATGCAATTAATATTCGTTATCAATCAATGTCCAACTTCATTTATTAATAAGAGATAAATTAGATTTTAAAAAATAACTATGAACATATATGAGGATTGGTGCACCGACAGTTGAGCCTCCGACAGATGAGCCCCGACAGTTGAGCCCCGACAAATGAGCCCTCGACAGTTGAGCCTACCGACAGTTGAGCCTACCGACAGTTGAGCTCCCGACAAATGAGCTCCCGACATTTGAGCCTCAAAAAATTGAAATTTCATCGATTAAATATAGAACACACGAAATTATTATTGAATCGCTTAATTCACTTGAAACTAGTGCACGGAAACATGAGACATCT